CACTAAACGCTAGCTCTTTGACCAAAACGGACCTCATCCTTATACGATTTTAAAAATAAGTTATTGTTGTGTGCGTGATGTTTCACAAGAGAGTTGTTTAACCATCTCGGAAATGGGAAAGAACACGAGGATTCAAGCATTGCATGTTCCGTAAGCCAGTCTGGAGTTTCAAGTTCGCATCGTGACAAGGGCGAGGACAAAGACGTATTGGCACTAGACACAAGAGCCTTTGAGATATTGGCTGCACACGCTGCTTATTGTCGTCGTGGGAATTAATGTGTTCTACGAACGGGGGAGATGGGAAGAGGGAAAAGGAGGGGTGAGGGGTGAGGGAGGAGGACGACTGAGTCCCAAGTAGGTTCCAACTACAAGTGTGTCGATATTTAGATCGGGTAGAACCGTCTTATCTTTTTTATTTTGGGTCTTTAAATTGCTACCATTATGATGGTAGGGATTGGTTTTTTTTTGTCGGGTGGAAAAGGGGTGGGGGTGGGGGTGGAGAAAGGGATGAGATGGTCAATAGAGAAAGGGTTGAGGAAGGGATAGGAATCTATAGCGACTACTTGACACAACATATTTTCAGGAGTATAGGTTTCATGTCGAGACATTTTACGAATGTATCCATTTGTTTATCATCGTGGATTCTTTCATGGAAACTTATTTCCTTCTTACAAAATGGTTTCGCTCAAGGACTGTTTCAAAAGAACCTCACACTATTGTAATTTTTTGTCACCTACTTAAAACACAGTGTCGTATGCTTTTGGCGCCTGATTCTACATCTCAAGTTTACTAACGTGAGGTAAATTCTGATTTTGCGTCCATCTTCCCACGGACTGATTCATTTGTGCGATTAGCTATGGACAGCCCTCATGTTTTAGTAAGGTTTTACAGCGCTCGCAACTGCATAAGGTCATATGAGCGCCAAGGGGTGAATGTCAACAGATAGGTCCAAGACGGGGAATCAGGATTACTCTGCCCAGCTCTCTACCTTCAACAGCACAAAGTCTGCTTTGACTATCAAAGAAATACCAGTTCACAAGAGAGTGACAAACATTCAAAAGAAGTGGAGGAATAATGACGATTGAAAGGATGAGGACAGAAAAAAACTGCAGTATCCCCTATGTTGTTCCGGCACAGTATTAGCATGACATTGATAAATCAGCCTATTTACAATTCTACTATACCTAAGAACATGTTAATATCCCTACTTTGGGAATGGCCTAAAGACAACTTCAGTCAGTAGCACTGCCCTGATTAGGTGGGGGTGTGAAAGCCCTCAAAGAAACAACATTGAAGAATGTCCACTCTCGGCTTCAAGTCACAATATACTGTGATATCAACAGAGCTACCAAAGTGCTTTCGTAATAAAATACATCCTTTTTTGAAGTTGCATTTTTTCCGGTTTTGACGCCAGTGAGATATAAATAGCTCGGTTTTAAACCAACACATACCTTGCCAGATCCCTTGCTTTCTCTTGTTTCAATCAAGGTTCCGTTCATATTCGCGCGCATTCACGCATGCACATACACACTCCTGCCCCCCCC